CGATCGCAGGGCACACGAATCACCAGCGTGGCCTCCCGCGTGGCGCTAACGTCAGCGCTCTTGGCCACGCGACGCGCTTCGGTTCATCGAGGTTACTAACTGGGAGGGTCCTACGTAGTCGAACTTTTTCTATTTGCACTTTGACCTCCTGTGTTTAATTTTTCTTTCAAAAACACTATTCGAACTCAAATTTTCACTTTTTTTATCAAAATTATTTTTAATTTCGTCTCTAATTCATGTTTTCTCAAAAATTCAATCAAATTAAAATAATTTTTTTAATTATTATATATATATTCCATAATTCATAAAATTATCTCGAACTAATTTTTGAACCCAACTATTAAAGTTATCATGATTATTTGGGTTAGTTATTAACTAAAATATGTTTTAGTTAATATTGGCACTTAAATTGAGGCCTACTTTACATTCTAAATAATTGTAGGTACTCATTCAATAATAAAATAATTAATTCGTGATTATTCTATTCAAGTCTAGATAAATTAAATAAATATTTTAACCAACTACTTTAAAAAGGATGGTAATTCCTATTAAATAATCACCGTGGGGCTTTTTGAATAAATTATTGAATTAATTTTTAAAGTTTATATTTTTTTAATGAAAAAAATTATTTATTAATTTATTAATTTAATTAATCAATTAAAATTGTTTTTTTTTTTTTGCTGTTAAAAATAGATGAAAAAATATGTGTTTAAAATAAATATAAAATATTAAAAATTAAATTATGATAAATATTAATTTTATTTTTTATTTAAAAAGGAACATATTTATATATATATATATATATATATATAAAAGGAATCACGGGACGTATTAGTTGAAGAAAGACCAAAACAATGGCCAATGAGTTGTAGGTTTAGTGGATGCAACTACTAAATACAACACATAATGTTGGACTTATCTTTTACTTCATGTATATAGATTCTTAGAATTAGACAAGTCAACCACATTATATACATATTTATAATTAGTTTTAAGTTTAAAAAATATATATATATTCTTAAAAATAATAAAATAATATGGATTTTAATATTTTATTCATAATAATTAATAATGATGTCCTTGCCACGTGGAATATTGATGTAAAAATTAAGCTAACATCACTCATCGTGCTTCCTTTGCTTCACCTACCACCGGATGCTGTAAGTCTGACATGCTGCGCACCGCATCATCCTCAATGCTTCCCATGAAGTGGGGTCCACTCACCAACCAATAAGAATTTGGAAGATGGGGCCCACGAGATCGTTGTAGCCGAATGCAAATGGACCGCGCACCGGAGTTGGTGAGGATGACTTTATCTTATCCAGCTGCAGTCTTTGCCCGCTCTTTTGGTAATCGTCTCACCAACTTCTTCTCTCTCTCTCTCTCTCTCTCTCTCTCTCTGCCAGCATAATAATAATAATAATTATTATTAAATTATGTTTAAAATTTTATAATTTAATTCTTAATATTTTTAATTATAATTTAATTTCTGATATTTTCTTTACTTGCTGAAAATATTTAATTTTTTATTTTAAAAAATAAAAATAATTAAATTATATTTAAAAATAACAAAAATAAATTCGACTAATTAATTACATTAATAAATCAATAATAATAAAGCATAAATTTCATGTTATTATAAGTTTATTAATATATTAATCTAATTAAATTAATCCATTAAAAAATAAAAAAAAATTATGTCCTCATACACACAATAATACCAATCATATTCTACAACTAACTCTCAATTATTCAACCTAGGTAATGACAAGGAAAATTCCTTGCAAGTGCTTAAGTTTCGCGGCAATAACTCTTGTTCTTCCGGCTCTTGTTTCCCATTTGACCTATTTTGAAATTTACAACATAATGAGTTACATCGTCCAATAAGTAGAATATGTACATCAAATCAAAAAATT